CTTATGAACAAGCAGAAGCCCCGCCCACCCACTCTTACTTCGTTCTAGTCACTGCTCTTAATACTGTTCAGTTTCTTCTTAGCAGATACTAGCCCCGCCCACCCGCCCTCTATTTTTTTAGAGGCTATGTCATTTTCCAAAATTAGTTTTATCTTATCAAGAACTAGCCCTGTCCACCCGCCGTCTATTTTCTTATAGGTAATAACGTTTGAAAAAGTCAGTTTTATCTTAGTAAATACTAGCTCCGCCCACTCGCCTTCAAGACAATAAAGGACAGGTGAGCAAGGTTAACACTTGCTAAGATAGAACTGATTTTGGCAAATGAAACACCCTGTAAGAAAATAGAGGGCGGGTAGGCGGGGTTAGTACTTACTAAGATGAAACTGACTTTTTCAAGTGAAATATCTTCCAAGAAAATAAAGGACGGATGGGCGGGGTTAGTACCTGCTAAGATAAGACCGATTTTGGCAAATGAAATACACTCGAAGAAAAGAAAGTGCGGGTGGGTGGGGCTAGTAGTACTTAGTAAGATAAGACTCCTTCTGGCAAATGAAATACCCTCTAAGAAAAGTGAGGGTGGGTAGTATTTACTAAAATGAGACTGACTTTTTCAAATTATATACCCTCTAAGAAAACAGAGCGCAGGGGCTAGTTTTGCTAAGATAAGATTCATTTTGGCAAATGATACACTCTAAAAAAATTGAAAGGTGTATCATTTGCCAAAATCATTCTTACCTTAGTAAATACTAGCCCCACCCACCCGCCCTCTGTTTTTTTAGAGGATATATCATTTGAAAAAGTCAGTCTCATCTTAGTAAATACTAGCCCCGCCCACCCACCCTCTCCTTTTTTAGAGGGTATGTCATCTGCCAAAATCAGTCTTATCTTAGCAGCTACTATTTCATTTGCCAAAATCAATGTTACCTTAGCAAGATTCTTAAGAAGGTTCTTGGTAGGGAAGAGGATTAAGGAAAAGATGAAGGAGAAAAAGAGAAAGTGGTAAAGAATTCTCTTCAAGACTGTTTTGTTTTGCTTTCTATTAAGTTTTCCATGGATTCAAAGGAAAAGAGAGAATGAATAAAAGAGGGAATTAATCCAGATGAAGAGTGAGTGGGAGAGAGAGAGATAGTGTGCGAAGGGGTCATAAAAAAGAGAATGAGCGCGGGGGGAAGGGAGAAAAGACAATAGGGAAAAGTAGAGAATATGTGTAGAAGGAGAGAGTGAGAGGTAGGGAAACGGATAAAAAAGGTAAATGAAGGGAGGGAAAAGCAAGAGGATCAGGTCAAACAAAAGACAGAAAGAGAGAGAGGGAGAGAGAGAGAGAGCAAAGAAAGGAGAAAAATATGGATTTTAATTGTATTTTTCTCGAGTTTTTGTCCAAATTGTGAGGGAAGTAAATAACAGAAAAGGAAGAGAGAAAGATTAGAAATGAAAGTGAAAAGAAATAAGCGGAAAGAGAGAGAGAGTGAGTAAAAGTCAGAGGAATGAAAATGAGAGGGCATGATAAAAATAGTAGCGGAAGTTAAATAAGACGGTAAATAAGTAAGAAAAAGGGAGAAAAAAGAGTAAGAGAGGGAAGTAGAAAAAAAAGGTCAAGGAGAGTAAACAGCCCTTGCTAGAACACTAGGGAGCTAAAGGGCAAGATAAACAGCGAGAGAGAACGAAAAAGAAATGGTAAAGGAGGCGAGGAAAAAAAGTGAAGTCGATAGAAAAAAAGAGGTGTAACTTTTTAGCTGAATTTTTTTTTTTTTTTGAAGGGAGAGAGAAAAAGCAGAAACGGGAGAAAGATAGACAACGGGAGAGAGAGAGAGAGAGATTAAGAATGAAAGTGATAGTGAAAGAGATTAAGCGAAAAGAGGGAGAGAAAAGGAAATAAGCCCCGCCCACAATCATTCTGATCTTAACAAGTACTAGCCCCGCCCACCCGCCCTCTATTTTCTCCGAGGGTATGCTATTTGCCAAAATCAGTCTTACCTTAGCAAGATTCTTAACAACGTTATTGGTAGGCAAGGGGATTAAGAAAAAGATGAAGGAGAAAAAAAAGAAAGTGGTAAAGAATTCTCTTCAAGGCCGTTTTTTGCTTTCTATTAAGTTTTCCATGAGGTTCAAAGGAAAAAAAGGATAGGGAGACACAGAGATGGGGAGAGAGAGAAAGAAAGAAAAGAAAAACGATAGAAAGAGTGTGAAAGGAAAACGGAAAAAAGAAAGAGAGGATAAATAAGAGAAGGTTAAAGAAATGGAAAAGAAGCAGGGTAAAAAGAGTGAAGGAGAATGAAGTGGAGACAAAAAAAGAGATGTAGTTTTTTAGTTCAATTTATTTTGAAGGGAGAGTGAAAAGAAATAGGAAGGAGAGAAAGTAAGACAACGAGAGCGAGAGAGAGCGAGATAGGAACTGATAGTGAAAGAGTTTAACTGAAAAAAGGGAGAAAAAGGAAATAAGAGTCAGAGAGATAGATAATAATAGATGTGGCAGGACAAAAAGAGAAACAGAGGTTGAAAAAGACAGGGAATTAAGTGAGATAAAGAGTGACACGCAGAGCGGAAGAGCGTGAGGAGAGTAAGAAGAAAGTGAGAGCGGGGGGAAGAGAGAAAAAAAATAGGTAAGGGTAGAGGGTGAGAGGAGGAGAGACGGAGAGAGAGAGAGATGAAGGGAGGGAAGGGCGAGAAAATAGTGTAAAACGTAAGGTAAACGAAAGACAGAAAATGAGAGAGACGGAGAGGAGCAGAAGAAAGGAGAAAAATAGTGAGATACTTAGAGCAATTATATGGAAAGAGGGAAAACAAGCAATTTTTGAATTGAATTTATTTCGAAGTAAATTTGATTACATTTTTCTCGAATTTTTTTCTAAGTTGCGAGGGAGATAAGAAACAGTACAGGAAGAAAGACAGATAAGAAATATAAGTAAAAAGAATTAAACGGAAAAAGATAGAGGGAATGAAAGTCAGAGGGATGAAACTAGAGGCGGCATGATAAAAATAGAAGCTGAGGTTAAATAATAGATTTAATTAAGTAAAAAAAAAGGGCGAGAGGAAAAAAGTGAGCAGGAAGCAGAATAAAGCAAAGGGAAGTAAATAAATGGTAAGATAAACAGCGAAAGAGATAACGAAAAAGAAATGGAAAAGAAGAAGGGAAAAAATAGTGAAAGAGAGTGGAGTGGAGAGAAAAAAAAAGGTGTAATTTTTTTAGTTTAATTTATTTTGAAGGAAGAGTGGGAAGAAACAGGAAGGAGAGAAAGAAAGACAACGAGAGAGAGAGAGAGAGAGAGAGAAAGATAGGGAGTGATAGTAAAAGAGATTTACTAAAAAAAGGGAGAAAAGGGGAATGAAGGTCAGAGAAATAGATATAGATGTGGGGAGAGAGAGAGAAGAAGATAGGTAGAGGTAAAGGGTGAGAGAGAGAGAGACACAGAGAGAGAGACGGAAGAAGGAAGAGAACTGAAGCGAGCGAAAGGCGAGTCTGAAACATAAGACAAACGAAAAACTGAAAATGAGAAAAACGGAGAGGAGCAGAAGAAGGGAGAAAAATAGTGAGAGGGAGCTACATGGAAATGGAGAAAACAACCAATTTTTGAGTTGAATTAATTTCGAAGTGAATTTAATTACATTTTTCTCGAGTATTCTTCTGAGTTGTGAGAGAGGTAAGAAACAAGAAAGGAGGAGAGAAAGTGAAAAATGAAAGTAAAAAGAATTAATCGGAAAAAGTAGAGAGAATGAAATTCAGAAGGATGAAAATAGAGACGGCATGATAAAAATAGGAACGGATATTAAATAAGAGGTTTAATTAAGTAAAAAAAGGGGCGAGAGAAAAAAAGTTAGGGGTAGAAGCCAGAGGGCCCGGAAAATAAACGGTAAGATAAACAGCGAAAGAGATAACGAAAAAGAAATAGAAAAGCAGGGGAAAAAAGTGAAGGGGAGTTAAATTGAGAGAAAAAAGAGGTGTAACTGAGAAAAATGGAATGAAATTCAGAAGGATAGATAATAGATATGACAGGATAAAAAAGAAATAGACGTTGAATAAGAGAGAGAATTAAGTCAGATAAAGTGTAAGACGAAGAGGAGGAGAGTGATAAAGTGAGAGGAAGGTAGAAAAAGAAAAAAAGGCGAGCAAGAATAAACAGGGGAGAGATAAAGAAGAAGATAAAAAAGTCCTTTTATTAGCAAACTTTGCGCACTTAATAACTAGATCTACTACTGGATGGAAATAGTTATTTTCCGAACAAGACCTTTAGCGGACACTGGATTACACCTGCCATCACGCGTCACCACCTCATATCCGGAAAATCGCCGTTTATGCCGCAGAAGACAACCATTGAAATATTATAATGAAGAAACCAACGGACGTTGATATTGTTCGAGTTAAAAATTCTTTACATATTTAAGCAATTTCACTCACCAAATTCGCAACATATCTATTTTAGTTTTTATGAACCGAAAAGAAATAGCCACGAGTCTTTCTCCGAATTTCGTTTCACGTTAACCGAGCCCGATACCATCGCTTCCATTCCAAGAGCAAACAAATCCCGTAAAAGAAAATCGTGAATTATTTGTTCGATGAGACAGTCTGAAGGAACGCAAACACAGGTTATATTTGCGCGTAATCTCTCCCGAAGTTATTATTGGGTTGCAGGTGCGGTCATTTTTTTTCACAGAAGAGTCGTTGACTCAAAACAAAATTCCCTTGTAACTTTGAACCCAAGTCGAACGGCTCTTTCGTCAAAAATTTCCAGAATTAACATATTATTAATGCACGCTGCCGCGTCAAGTATTTCCTCCGAGGATACTTACAAGCCGGAGTTTATAATAATGCAAATTCAATATGCGCCACTTAAAGAATACGAGGGTTAAATTACCGAAAAGTAGCACAACTCTAACTCGTTTTCTCGAACTTTGGCAGTATTTGAATTTTTAAAGAAAATCAAACGCTCGCTCTTTTGCCGTACACTGTAACGTGTAATAGCACCTTGCGAGAAAATTAAAATCTCTTTGTAACGAAATTCCAGAGCAGCCCACCGTGGTCCAGACCAACATCCTGATACGCAGCATGGGCCCGGTCTCCGAGCTGGACATGGTAATCGTTTTCGTGTAGCCCTTCCGGTTTGACTAGTAGTTTCCAGGAATACTCCATGGACTGCTACTTCCGCCAGTACTGGCGCGACCAGCGCCTGTCGTTTCTCGGCCCCATCAAATCCCTCTCGCTGTCCATAAAAATGCTGGAACGCATCTGGAGACCCGATACTTACTTCTACAACGGCAAGCACTCATATGTCCATACAATCACCGTTCCCAACAAACTCCTGAGAATCAGCCAAGATGGCGATATCTTATACTCGATGAGGTAAGGAGAGACAATGGTAAATCGGAAACCGTCGTCATTATCCTTCTAACGTAATGCGAGCTGTTTCTTTCCTTCCGAAGGTTAACGATCAAAGCGAAGTGCCCGATGGAGCTGCGTACGTTTCCGATGGACAGGCAGTCGTGTCCGCTGATCCTGGGGAGCTGTGAGTGGGCGGGGGACACGACAAGGGTGGGGTGGGGGTGGTCCAAATTTTGCACACATTATTGTTTGAATTTTTATTTTTTCTCAATATCAAACTGTAATGTTGGAATTTTGACCACCTTGAAACCACTTTTGCGGTTGGTCACCATTTTGTGGCCGAATTTCTTCCAGATGCCTACACCTCCAAGGACCTGGTGTACCGATGGCAGAACGAAGCCAGTGTCAATTTCGTCCCGGGGATGACGTTGTCCCAGTTTGATTTGATCAGCTTTCCTTACAGAAATTTTACTCTGACGAGACGGGAAGGTAAGTTTTACGGGCTCAGGAAATGAAACATAGCAGTTATGGGTGGAATTATTTAACTTTTCAGTCGAGATGTTTTATGGGTTTGGGAAATGAAATGTCGCATGTTTTGAGGGTCGGTGTAGTTTTTTGACTCGTAAAGATGGCATATACGAATTTTGCGACGCTTTTATTGTTAGTGCAGCATTATTTGTCGTAAAGCGGAGCTCTGAACACGATTAAATGCAATAAGCGGAACTACGGAACCGACTACTCTGAAATTTTAATTAACTCTTTAAGAATTAACTGCAAGTTTAAAAAAAATCATTTATCTTTGTTTGAAATATCTTTAAGATAACACAAACAACAACAATTAATTAGTATTTAATGTGTTGTCATCACCGTTATCACTTATCTAGTTATTTTTAATTTTACGCCATTAGATGCAACTTTTGAATTAGTTGCACTTAAGATTGTAATAATAAAAATTGAAAAATGAAACCCCCTTTTCAGGCGACTTCTCCGTCCTCCAAGTCTCCTTCAACCTCCAGCGCCACACCGGCTACTTTCTCATCCAGGTCTACGTCCCCTGCATCCTCATCGTGGTCCTCTCCTGGGTGTCTTTCTGGATTCACCGGGAGGCCACCAGCGACCGCGTGGGTCTGGGCATCACAACCGTCCTCACCCTCTCCACCATAAGCCTGGACTCCCGCACGGACCTCCCCAAGGTGCGCTACGCCACTGCCTTGGACTGGTTCCTGCTCATGAGCTTCTTCTACTGCATTGCGACCCTCCTGGAGTTCGCCGGGGTTCACTACTTCACGAAGGTGGGCAGCGGGGAAATCCCCGTCGACGAGGACGACTGGGAGGACTTCAACGAGTCGGAAGATGAGCCCGCGTCTGCAGCCGACTTGGTGGAAAATGCCGTCAGTGCTGCCAACCGTGCGGGGAGGCGGAGGAGTTCGTTGATTTGTCCAATTTATAATGTGAGTTGGGGGAGATTGATTTAGTTCGGGTGAGGGGTTTCTTTAAAACCACTTAGGGGTGAGTGAGTCTGTGTGTGTGGAATGTTTGAGGGAAATTAGGAGACAAACAGGACCTTTTGTTTTTAAATCCCAAGGAAAGTAGTAAGTTGGTAACGATTATTTTGAATTTCGCGGGATTTCATTGTACGTCAGAATTATATTATATTAATGCTTGAAGCAAATTTTTGTATTGGCAATTCTGAATTACTGGAGACAATGTTGTCAGTTTTGGAATACCCGTGATCAGTAGATGGTATCTATTGATTTGACACCATAAATTTCAGTTTGACAGTCATGTGTGCCACCCTAAAGAAAGGGTGGGTGGGCGGGGCATCATATTTTATTATAAGATAGCACTACACCAACCTACAAAAAAAAGAATAGGGATGACTGCCAATTTAGGGTGAAAATTAGCCATTGCTTTTAATTCACATATCCTAGTTGTCAGTTATGGAGTAAATGTGATTAGAAGATGGTATCTATTGACTTGATATCACAAATTTCAATTTGACAAACATTTATCTCACCATAAAAAAGGGTGGGTCATTATATTTTTTACTTCCCGAGCGTAAGCAAGGAAGTATAGTAATTGAGACCATCGGTCGAATTGCAACTTCTCGTTTTCTCGACATTTCATGAACCCTAGAGTACGAAAAAGTAGTACCCCGTTTCAAAATATAAGCCCCGCCCACCCACCCCTTCTCAATTGTGATGAATGTTTTCTGCATCATGAATTGAAGGGCGAAGTTTAGTTTGCAAAATCCTCATTTCTCTACAAGAAATTACCATACGGTCTGATTAGGAATGAACAACTTATCACAATTAAGATCGGGGCGGATGGGTGGGGCTTAATTTCTGTTTTGTTTTTTTATCACAATATAGGTATAGAGTTTTTGTTCAGCAACAGGATGGTTAAACATGTTGTCAGTTTCTTGTTGGGAAAAGAAGACTTGGTATATTAAGAAAAAATTGACAAAATATAGGCCCCCGCCCACCCACCCCTTCTCAATTGTGATGAATGTTTTCTGCATCGTGAGTTCAAGGGCGGAGTTTAGTTTGCAAAATCCTTATTTCTCTACAAGAAATAACCATACGAGGCATGTTTTTAAAATGGTCTGATTAGGAATGAAAAACTCATCACAATTAAGATCGTGGCGGGTGGAGGTGGTGGGGACGTTGATCACGACACGCTGATTCCAAAAATATGGCATGTTGATGGTCACGAAGCAACATTTTCGAAAAAATCGGTGCGAAATGCAAATTTTAGAAAATTTCAAAAATGTCGTAATTTTAACGGTCGATTCTGGAAAAACGGTTGCAGTTATAAAAAAACCGAGGCCGGATTTGAGTTCTAGAACTCGAAATCTACAAGAAAATGTGTTTAGTTGAGTTTCAAAAATGTAAAAATTTTTCCTAAATTTGAAGAAGGGGGGACCGTTAAAAAATTCCAATTTTAAAAAAGTTGTCTAAAAATTCTGAAAAAATTCAGGGACGTAGATCTCGACACGCTGATTAAAAAAAATTGCATGTTGATGGTCACGCAGCAACATTTTCGAAAAAATCGCTGCGAAATGCAAATTTTAGAAAATTTCAAAAATGTCGTTATTTTAACGTTCGATTCTGGAAAAACGGTTGCAGTTATCAAAAAACCGAGTCCGGATTTGAGTTCTAGAACTCGAAATCTACAAGAAAATGTGTTTAGTTGAGTTTCGAAAATGTCAAAATTTTTCCTAAATTTGAAGAAGGGGGGACCGTTAAAAAATTCCAATTTTAAAAAAGTTGTCTAAAAATTCTGAAAAAATTCAGGGACGTAGATCTCGACACGCTGATTAAAAAAAATTGCATGTTGATGGTCACGCAGCAACATTTTCGAAAAAATCGCTGCGAAATGCAAATTTTAGAAAATTTCAAAAATGTTATTTTAACGTTCGATTCTGGAAAAACGGTTGCAGTTATCAAAAAACCGAGTCCGGATTTGAGTTCTAGAGCTCGAAATCTACAAGAAAATGTGTTTAGTTGAGTTTCGAAAATGTCAAAATTTTTCCGAAATTTGAAGAAGGGGGGACCGTTAAAAAATTTCAATTTTAAAAAAGTCGTCTAAAAATTATGAAAAAATTCAGGGATGTAGACCTCGACACGCTGATTAAAAATATATGGCATGTCGATGGTCACGAAGCAACATTTTCGAAAAAATCGCTGCGAAATGCAAATTTTAGAAAATTTCAAAAATGTCGTTATTTTAACGGTCGATTCTGGAAAAACGGTTCCAGTTATCAAAAAACCGAGGCCGGATTTGAGTTCTAGAGCTCGAAATCTACAAGAAAATGTGTTTAGTTGAGTTTCGAAAATGTCAAAATTTTTCCGAAATTTGAAGAAGGGGGGACCGTTAAAAAATTTCAATTTTAAAAAAGACATCTAAAAATTCTGAAAAAATTCAGGGACGTAGATCTCGACACGCTGATTAAAAATATATGGCATGTTGATGGTCACGAAGCAACGTTTTCGAAAAAATCGCTGCGAAATGCAAATTTTAGAAAATTTCAAAAATGTCGTTATTTTAACGGTCGATTCTGGAAAAACGGTTCCAGTTATCAAAAAACCGAGGCCGGATTTGAGTTCTAGAGCTCGAAATCTACAAGAAAATGTGTTTAGTTGAGTTTCGAAAATGTCAAAATTTTTCCGAAATCTGAAGAAGGGGGGACCGTTAAAAAATTCCAATTTTAAAAAAGTTGTCTAAAAATTCTGAAAAAATTCAGGGACGTAGATCTCGACACGCTGATTAAAAAAATATAGCATGTTGATGGTCACGAAGCAACATTTTCGAAAAAATCGCTGCGAAATCCAAATTTTAGAAAATTTCAAAAATGTCGTTATTTTAACGGTCGATTCTGGAAAAACGGTTGCAGTAATCAAAAAACCGAGGCCGGATTTGAGTTCTACAGCTCGAACTCTACAAGAAAATGTGTTTAGTTGAGTTTCGAAAATGTAAAAATTTCTCCGAAATTTGAAGAAGGGGGGACCGTTAAAAAATTTCAATTTTAAAAAAGTTGCCTAAAAATTCTGAAAAAATTCAGGGACGTTGATCTCGACACGCTGATTAAAAAAATATGGCATGTTGATGGTCACGAAGCAACATTTTCGAAAAAATCGCTGCGAAATGCAAATTTTAGAAAATTTCAAAAATGTCGTTATTTTAACGGTCGATTCTGGAAAAACGGTTGCAGTTATCAAAAAACCGAGGCCGGATTTGAGTTATAGAGCTCGAAATCTACAAGAAAATGTGTTTAGTTGAGTTTCGAAAATGTAAACATTTTTCCGAAATTTGAGGAAGGGGGGACCGTTAAAAAATTTCAATTTTAAAAAAGTTCTCTAAAAATTCTGAAAAAATTCAAGGACGTAGATCTCGACACGCAGATTTCAAGAATATAGCATGTTGATGGTCACGAAGTAACATTTTCGAAAAAATCGCTGGGAAATGCGAATTTTTAAAAATTTCAAAAATTTCGAAATTTCAACGGTCGATTCTGGAAAAACGGTTGCAGGTATCAAAAAATCGAAGCCGGATTTGGGTTCTAGACCTCGAAATCTACAAGAAAATGTGTTTAGTTGAGTTTCGAAAATGTCAAAATTTTTCCGAAATTTGAAGAAGGGGGGACCGTTAAAAAATTTCAATTTTAAAAAAGTTGTCTAAAAATTCTGAAAAAATTCAGAGACGTAGATCTCGAGACGCTGATTCCAAAAATATGGCATGCTGAGGGTCACGGAGCAACATTTTCGAAAAAATCGCTGCGAAATGCGAATTTTTGATAATTTCAAAAATTTCGATATTTTAACGGTCGATTCTGGAAAAACGGTTGCAGTTATCAAAAAACCGAGGCCGGATTTGAGTTCTAGAGCTCGAAATCTACAAGAAAATGTGTTTAGCTGAGTTTCGAAAATGTCAAAATTTTTCCGAAAATTCAAGAAGGGGGGAACGTTAAAAAATTTCAATTTTAAAAAAGTTGTCTAAAAATTCTGAAAAAATTCAGGGACGTAGATCTCGACACGCTGATTAAAAAAATATGGCATGTTGATGGTCACGAGGCAACATTTTCGAAAAAATAGCTGCGAAAAGCAAATTTTAGCTGGAAATCTACAAGAAAATGTATTTGGTTGAGTTTCGAGAATGTCAAAATTTTTGCAAACAGAAAAATTGAAAAAATTGAAACAGAAAAAACAAAAATTATAAATCGTTACGTTGAAAAATTGAAAAAGTGTAAAAATAAAGAAAATGAAAAAACGAAACAAAAAATTACACATGGAAAAATTAAAAATTGAAACCTTGAGAACCTCAAATTGAAAAATTGCAAAATCTAGAAATTGAATTGAAAACTAGAAAAATGCAAGTCGAAAAAATGAAGGAACATAACAATCACGTATGCCACCATAAAAAAGGGTGGGTGGGCGGCACATCATACTTTTTTTAATAAAAATAGCACGGTACCAACTTACAAAAAAAAATAGGGATGACTGTCATCATATCCTAGTTGTCAATTTTGGAATGAATGTGATTATTGACTTGACACCGTTAATTCAATTTGGCAGTCATGTTTGCCACCACAACAACCGGGTGGGTGGGCGGGGCACCATATTTTCTGATAAAAATAGCACAGTACCAACTTACAGAAACAAAAATTAGGGCTGCCTGCCATTTTAGGTGAATTTGTACGCTTTTAACTCACATACCCAGTCTAGACTACCCCCATCTCACACCCTTACAACATCAAACCAACCGTCGCTTTTGCGTTTTCAGAATTCGGCCGTCTACTACACCAGCAAACGCACCTCTTTGACTTCAAACGTCCAAGTGACGCCGCCTCCAGTGCGGCTAACGATGGAAAGAACAACGCAAACGGAAACCCGTCTACCTAAATGGAAACAGTTCATTTATTGCTTGAAAGGGGATGATAAGTTTCGGAAACAGAGACAAAGAGAAGCGGCTTCCGCTAGTAAGTAAGGTAGTTTTTGGGGGCTGAAAAAGATGTTGTTTTGCAGATGGCGGCGATGGCCGCCACGGCCCCCGACATGTAAACAGCGTAAGTTTGATAGACAGGGCTGCGAGAGTTCTCTTCCCGGCATCGTTCGGCTTTTTCAATCTAATTTACTGGATGATTTATTTTATGTACCAGGATGATTTCAAATGGGGAGATAGTAAATTGGGCTCTTTAGGTCACTAAATGGGATTTATGAGGAGTGGAGTACGGGCTAATAGCTGTTTATGGGAGCTTCTGGAAGGCTTCAGGGAGTTAGATGCTTCGTATCGACACAATTGTATGAGTAGAATAAATAAAATAGACAAAGGTTGTAAAGTTTTATTGAGTTACATCAAATCCATTTCCTTTCTACGAAATTTTTTACTACAAAGAGTATTCTGTCTTTAAGTAAAAGCCGGTCCGAGTCTTTAGTTTGAAACAGTGACAGAAGAACCGACAAAACGTGAACAAACTGACCCTCACTAGTCACAGTCTTCATTTCTTTTAATAGAGCGTCCAGAGAAAACGGAGTAGGGTCACATTTACACTCCTCCAGTACTCTCACCAAGTTGCTGTGATAAAACTCAATCAACCCGTTGCTGTGTTCCTCCAAAACTTCCCTCTGCACACTAGTATAAAGAAACAAAATCAAATCGTCAGCAAGCGACCCGTAACTACAGTGCTGAAAATCTATCAACTTAATATCAGCAGTACCATCCCCATTCTTCACTAATATGTTCCTCAAACAACAATCGCTGTGTATCATCGTGGAAAACGGGGCCCGAAGTGCCTTCTCCGGTACTTCTTCCAACTTCTCCTTAATTCTGTCCAAGTACGACTCAAACTCAGATTCCTCCTCCACGATTTTAACGATTTTCAAAACCGCCTGGCTGTAATCAAGCGTGACAGCCTTACTCAAGTACCGTTTGACTTTCGTGTCGAAGACTTTCGGATCTTTGAGTTTGAGCGCCAGCGGAATGGCGTGAAAACTCGCCAAGTCCTTGAGTACTTGTCTGGTGGTACCCAAATTCAAGCGCTCGTCCACGTTCTCGTACCCTTGACACTTGAGATTTTCGAGCAGGATGGTGCTTTGGCTGAGATTCGTTCCATAGCTCGCCGGCAAAAAGTACAACTCATCAACGTCCTCCCGTTCTTGGAAGTACTGCAGAGTTGGGGCTACGATGTTGTAGAAGTTGATTTCTTTCTGCAGACTTGCTTGGAGCACGGCGAAGAGCGGTGACTCCGGGAGGGTTTTCGCGGCGATGTTGAGAGTGGTACCGTCGTTGAGGACGACCTCCAGGGAAGCTATTGTTGTGTGGTTTTCGTGAATGGTACCTGTTTGTTTGTGGGTTGCGATGGTTTGGTGTTGGAAGGTGGTTTGGAGTAGGTCTTCAAGGTTTGTACTCATTTTGAGGAACGGAGACGCTGACGCACACGGTAGGGATCAGAGACTGATTAGAGAGTACGAATTGTACTGTATTCTAAATCAGTGATTTATCTACTGTGTATGTAACGATTTGTCGGCGGTACAATTATTTTGTACTTGAGATAATACTTCGGATTCCGTGATAAAGGAATAGTGCAGTAATAATGGGCTGTGTTTACAAAGCTGGGTATTTGCAGAGGTACTTGTTGTGATTGGCGACGTCACGAGATTAAGTTGTTTATTTCTTCGAGATTAGGTGGAGATGTTTGACAGGGGAATGACGGTCATTAAGAGTAATTACTTATTTGCTATAGAAGCAGCGTGGGTTTAAGGTTGTACAGTGTAGGCCGCAATTTTTGTTTCTTACCATATTTTATTTAAATCAAATATTTTAAACAGTTTCGTTTGTTTGACGACTTATAGCTAAAAAATCTGCTTATCTGGAATGTAAAAAATTAAAAAAAAGCTATAGAAAAAATCTTCGCTGCATGATTATTGTCACATTTTTTTTTTATCAAAAAGTGCACTTTAACAAACCACCCCTATTTTTATTTTTATTTATCGGGGTTATCAAGAAAATAATAAAATTCGCAAAGTTAAGTTTACTCATTTATGGATATAACAAATTTGAGAAGAATGTGAAAGTGTCTGAGGGCTTTTAGTATTTTATTTAAGAAAAAAGAATCTGTTTTATAAAAATGTTTAAGGAATTCTGAAGGTCCTTAAATTTTTTTTGAATTTTAAGCATCTTTGTGCCACTTGGGATATTTTTTTAATGTGAAAAAGATCTTGGAAGTCCCTAGTGTTTTATAAAAAAAATTTAAAGAATCTTGGAGTTCCTTGGAGTTTTGTTTCTGAAAAAGCTTGAAAGAATTATGGAGTTCCTAATGTCTTTTTAAGGATGTGAAAAGTTTTTAAGTTTCGGAGGATCCTTGTTTTTTTAAAGAGTTTAAAAGAATTTTGGCGACATCTGGTGCTTTGTTTTTAAAAGAATTTGGAAGAATCTTTAGGGTTTTTTTAAGAATGTGAAAGAATCTTGAAATCCCCCGGTGTTCTGCTTTATAAAAATGTTTAAAGAAACTCGGAGGTCCCTAGACTTTTTTTTTAATTTTAAGTATATTGGCGCCCTCTAGTACATTTTTTTTATGTGAAAAAATCTTAGAAGTCCCTAATGTTTTGTTTTATAAAAAAGTTTAAAGAATCTTGGAGATCCTTGGAATTTTGTTTCTGAAAAAGCTTGAAAGAATTTTGGAGGCCCTAATGCGTTTTTAAGGATATGAAAAATTTTAAAGAGTTTCGGAGAATTCTTGTTTTTTTTTAAGAGTTTAAAAGAGTTTTCGCTACCTCTGGTGCTTTGTTTTTAAAAGAATTTGGAAGAATATTTAGGGTTTTTTTTAAGAATGTGAAAGAATCTTGAGGTCCCCTGGTGTTCGCTGTTTTATAAAAATGTTTAAAGAATCTCGGAGGTCCCTAGATTTTTTTTAATTTTAAGTATCTTGGCGCCCTCTAGTATATTTTTTTAATGTGAAAAAATCTTAGAAGTCCCTAATGTTTTGTTTTATAAAAAAGTTTGAATAATCTCGGAGATCCTTGGAATTTTGTTTCTGAAAGAACTTGAAAGAATTTTGGAGTCCCTAATATATTTTTTAAGGGTATGAAAAATTTTAAACAGTTTCAAAGATTCTTGTTTTTTTTTTTAGGTTAAAAGAGTTTTGACGACCACTGGTACTTTTTTTTTTTAAGTGTGGAACATTATTCAGCCTCTTTTGTATGAATGTCAAAAAATCTTGAAAGTCCCTAGTGTTTTATTTTAGATTTTTCTAAATTTCTTGGGGGCCCTTAATATTTTGTTTTATAAAAAAGTTTAAAGAATCTAGGAGGTCCCTGGATATTTTTTGAACAATTTTAGTATCTTGGAGCCCCCTAGTATATTTTTTTAATGTGAAAAAATTTTGGAGGTCCCTAGTGTTTTGTTTTAATTTTTCTAAAATTCTTGGGGTGCTTTAGTATTTTGTTTTAAAAAAAGTTTAAATAATCTTGGAGATCCTTGGAATTTGTTTCTGAAAGAGCTTGAAAGAATTTTGGAGTCCTTAATATATTTTTTAAGGGTATGAAAAATTTTAATCAGTTTCAAAAATCCTTGTTTTTTTTAAGGTTAAAAGAATTTTGACGACCTCTGATGCTTTGTTTTTAAAAAAGTTTGGAAGAATATTCAGCCTCTTTTTTATGAATGTGAAAAAATCTTGGAAATCCCTAGTGTTTTATTTTAGATTTTTTTAAATTTTTTGGGGGCCCCTTAATATTTTGTTTTATAAAAAAGTTTAAAGAATCTTGGAGGTCCCTGGATATTCTTGAACAATTTTAAGTATCTTGGAGCCCCCTAGTATATTTTTTTAATGTGAAAAAATCTTGGAGGTCCTTAGTGTTTTGTTTTAGATTTTTCTAAAATTCTTGGAGGCACTTAGTATTTTGTTTTATAAAAAAGCTTGAAATAATTTTGAAGTCCCTAATGCCGTTTTGAAAGATATAAAAAATTTGAAAGAGTTTCGAATGTCCTTTCTAAAAGTTTAAAAGAGTTTTGGCGACCTCTGGTGCTTTGTTTTTAAAAGAATTTGGAAGAATCTTTAGGGTTTTTTTTCAAGAATGTGAAACAATCTTGAGGTTCCCTGGTGTTCTGTTTTATAAAAATGTTTAAAGAATCTCGGAAGTCCCTAGATTTTTTTATTTTAAGTATCTTGGCGCCCACGAGTATATGTTTTAATGTGAAAATATCTTGGCGGTTAGAATCTTTGGGGTTTTTTTCAAGAATGTGAAAGAATCTTGAGGTCTCCTGATGTGTGATTACTTTACTTTACTTTACTTTACTATGTTCTGTTTTATAAAAATTATAAAAATGTTGAAAAAATCGCGGAGGTCCTTGGATATTTTTTGAAAAATTTTAAGTATTTTGGAGCCCCCTAGTATATTTCTTTAATGTGAAAAAATTTTGGAGGTCTCTAGTGTTTTGTTTTAGATTTTTCTAAAATTCTTGGGAGTCCTGTAGTATTTTGTTTTAAAAAAAGTTTAAATAATCTCGGAGATTCTTGGAATTTTGTTTATGAAAGAGCTTGAAAGAATTTTGGAGTCCTTAATATATTTTTTAAGGGTATGAAAAATTTTAAACAGTTTCAAAAATCCTTGTTTTTTTTTAGGTTAAAAGAGTTTTGACGATCTCTGGTGCTTTTTATTTTAAAGTGTGGAACATTCTTCAGCCTCTTTTTTATGAATGTCAAAAAATCTTGGAAGTCCCTAGTGTTTTATTTTGGATTTTTCTAAATTTCTTGGGGGCCCTTAATATTTTGTTTTATAAAAAAGTTTAAAGAATCTCGGAGGTCCCTGGATATTTTTTGAACAATTTTAGTATCTTGGAGCCCCTTAGTAAATTTTTTTAATGTGAAAAAATTTTGGAGGTCCCTAGTGTTTTGTTTTAATTTTTCTAAAATTCTTGTGGTGCTTTAGTATTTTGTTTTAAAAAAAGTTTAAATAATCTTGGAGATCCTTGGAATTTGTTTCTGAAAGAGCTTGAAAGAATTTTGGAGTCCCTAATGTATTTTTTAATGGTATGAAAAATTTTAAACAGTTTCAAAGATCCTTGTTTTTTTAAGGTTAAAAGAGTTTTGAGGACCTCTGGTGTTTTGTTTTTAAAAAAGTTTGGAAGAATATTCAGCCTCTTTTTTATGAATCTGAAAAAAATCTTGGAAGTCCCTAGATTTTTCTAAATTTCTTGGGGACCCTTTAATATTTTGTTTTATAAAAAGTGTTTAAAGAATTGCGGAGGTCCTTAGATATTTTTTCAAAAATTTTAAGTATCTTGGAGCCCCCTAGTATATTTTTTTTAATGTGAAAAAATTTTGGAGGTCCCTAGTGTTTTGTTTTAGGTTTTTCTAAAATTCTTGGAGTCACTTAGTATTTTGTTTTGTAAAAAAGCTTGAAACAATTTTAGAGTCCCTAATGCCTTTATTAAGGATATAAAAAATTTGAAAGAGTTTCGAAGGTATTTTTTTTTAAGAATTTAAAAGAGTTTTGGCGACCTCTGGTGCTTTGTTTTTAAAAGAATGTGGAAGAATTTTTAGGGTTTTTTTCAAGAATGTGAAAGAATCTTGAGGCTCCCTGGTGTTCTGTTTTATAAAAATGTTTAAAGAATCTCGGAGGTTCCTAGATTTTTTTTTTATTTTAAGCATCTTGGCGCCCCCGAGTATATGTTTTAATGTGAAAATATCTGTTAGAATCTTTAGGGTTTTTTCAAGAATGTGAAAGAATCTTAAGGTCCCCTGATGTTCTGTTTTAGTCCCTAGTGTTTTATTTTAGATTTTTCTAAATTTCTTGGGGGCCCTTAATATTTTGTTTTATAAAAAAGTTTAAAGAACCTTGGAGGTCCCCGGATATTTTTTGAAAAATTTTAAGTATCTTGGAGCCCCTGGTGTATTTTTTATTGTGAAAAAATCTTGGAGGTCCCTAGCCTTTTATTTTAGATGTTTCTAAAATTCTTAGGAGTTCTTTAGTATTTTATTAAAAAAAAAGTTTAAAGAATCTCGGAAATCCTTGGGATTTTGTTTTTGAAAGAGCTTGAAAGAATTTTGGAGTCCCTAATGTATTTTTTAAGGGTATCCGAAATTTTAAACAGTTTCAAAAATCCTTGTTTTTTTTAAGGTTAAAAGAGTTTTGACGACCTCTGGTACTTTGTTTTTAAAAAAGTTTGGAAAAATATTCAGCCTCTTTTTCATGAATGTGAAAAAATCTTGGAAGTCCCTAGTGTTTTATTTTAGAGTTTTCTAAATTTCTTGGGGGCCCCTTAATATTTTGTTTTATAAAAAAGTTTATAGAATCTTGGAGGTCCCTGGATATTTTTTGAAAAATTGTAAGTGTCTTGGAACCCACTAGTATAATTTTTTAATGCGAAAAAATCTTGAAAAAGTGTAAAGAATCTCGGAGGTCCCTGGAATTTTTTTAGCGTTAAATTCTTGGGACCTCTTCTAGTGTTTCTTTTTAAGAATGCGAAAGAATCCCCTGGGGTCGTTGGTGCCTATTTTTTTTTTTTAAGAATCATGGGGAATAACATGTTCGATTTCAGGAAAAAATTTAAAAAATCTCAATAACGCTGTTCTTTTGTTTTTTAAAAATTTGGCAGCACCTTGAGAGCTCTGTTGTTTTGTTTCTGAAAAAAGTTGAAACACTCTTGAGGTTTTTTAGTGTTTTTTGAAAGAATGTGAAGGAGTGTTCGAGGGCTTTGTCTTTTTTTTTTTTTAATTTGAAAAGATGTTAAGACTGCAGGGCCTTATTTTTTTGAAAATTCATTATAAAAATGACTCCAAGTTTGGAAGCTGCGTAACAAAGATAAAATTTTTAGAAAATTGTATTCAGGATTTTTGTTTTCATTTCTTTAATGATCTGAGACAAAAAAAATATCAGGAAGAGTGTTGTTGATCTGATAGCAACTTGTTTACATTTTCTGCATAATCACTGTTGGGTTTATTTTTCTTGTTTGTGTTTGTGCCACCAATAATCATAATTATGAATCAATTATCCTTAAGCCGGCCCTGCCTGTGCCGCTTCTAATAAATCAAAAACCTCCTTATTCCTGTTCGAAAAAGTTCCTCCAGCTTTCACCCGGCAACGTCGCGCATCTTCACATCGTCCCAACTCCACCACCTGTACCGCGTGGTTCGGCTCCGCGCTAAAGCATGTTTATGACATAAATTTCCCTTAAAGGGCCAGTTTTCCCCGTGAAGAGCCCCGTTCGCCCTTCCGACCCTCCGGCCGAACCCGTTTCCCGCTTTCCACAGCCCGGAGGGCCCCGGTTGCAGTCCATTAATCGAAAATGACCGCACAGGAAAACGACTGCCATGATTGATTCCGAGCGTCGTTGCAAAGATGAACAAGTAGAAAAGTTTTGATGATATGTGGGATATTTAGCAAGAAATCAGCAGTGAAGTGGTAATAAAGTTTTGTTTTATGCTTGTAGATCGCATATTTAGGCTCATTTGTGCCGCCCTAAGTCATGTTACAACCGAAAATGCGAATTTGACGTGTTAGGTTCAATGGCTGCATCGAGTACGCCATCGCTTTCCTCTCGCAAAATCGCCCTTATTAGCGGCTAATTCCGGCCGGAAAGCTCGGAACGGCGGCCGCGAGCCCCCCAGTCCGCGTCCGTGAGTGAAAATCCGAAAAGCCCGTGCATTAAAATCTGGTGTGGGAGTGTCATAATTTGACATTTAAAAAAACTAAAATTTTCTTTGTTGTCGGCCTGTTCGTTGACCTTGAATTCCAACCTATTTGTTTACATCTCCATCTCGGCGGTTTTGGACCCTTTTCTGAATGGTCGTGTGCTTTGCAGTGTTCATAATGGTTGTGGATGTACCTTTGAGGAGTTTCCAACACAAAATGCAACAACCTGCTGGGATGAATCCACGCGAACTGTCAGAAAACGACGACTGGGCCACTTCGCTTGTTCTCGATCCTCATCTGGGTTTCACCACGCACAAGATGAACATCAGGTACAGGCCGATCAAGGCGAACACCTCGGAGCTTAAGAGTATTGTGGTGGAGTTCGTACGGACGCAGAATTATGACAGAGCCTACAACAGTATTGCCAAGGGGGAGTGGATGCCCAAGATCAAGTCCAAAATCCAGCAGAATAAGCTCAAAGAGCACGTGAGTAGTTTGCTGGGTGCTGGCAATTATTTCATAGTTGGGAGCAATTATTTTCATTAAGTGTCAAGTGTGAGTTAACCTCTTTTTGTCGCGATGCGGGTAGGCAACCCGCATTGGCGACGTGCGCGCCACAGAAACGGTTGCATACGCACCAGGCGAAAAGGCTTTCCGGCGCATGTGACGTCAGCATGATGTATTGTTGGTTGCCTATAATCAATGAATAGTAACTAATATTTTTAAATTAGTCTTTAACTAGTTGGTATTACCGTTCAACTTGAATTTCAATGTACTTCAAAATTATTCAGTTTTTTTTAAACGAATCTTAAAAGTAGGAGTAAATATGAGTCATCGTTATTAATTCAATTTGGAAATGTCAATGATTTCGTGATGATATCCTAAAAAGCATCTAAAATTTTGTTTTGAATTAAATAAAACGAGTTTGAAAATGTGGTCAAACATCAGGTTCTATTTATTAAATGTTATGTCTGCCAACTATTTAGATTTTCCGTCATTAATTTTTGACCGACTTTATGAGATAAATATCAGACAGCTGTTACCAATTTTTATAATTGGTTAACTACAAAGACACAGGGCGCCAAACATTGAATTTAATTTTTATGGTTTTACAACAAATGCTCAAGTAGGTACCACTGACTATTTAATTTAACTTCTTTAAAAGAGACCAGTGTCTCTTCCCTTCTCTTCTCCCTTGTCTCTTTTTCGTGTTCTATCTCATATTTCCTCTTTGCTTTCTTTCTTTGTCATTCCCACTGTTGGTTCAGTGCTGTTTCTTTGCCCCCTGTTGTCTTTTAGGTCTAACTGTTGTTCTTTGACCCCCTCTGTTGCCCCCATTCTGTTTCTTTGCTTCTCCCTCCTTTTTTGGCCCTCTCTCTTTTTGCCCTTTGTCTTTTTGCTATTTCCCCTTTTGCAGTTGCTCTTTTTGCCCTCTCTATTTGCCGTTTCTGTTTTTGCCCATTCTCGTTTAGCCCTTTGTTTTTTGCTCTTTCCCTTTTTACAATTTTTCTTTTTTCACCTCTCTTTTAGCCGGTTTTTTTGCCCTCTCTCATTGTGCTCTGTTTCTATTTGCTCTCTCTTTTTTTGCCCACTCTCTTTTTGCCCTCTCTCTTTTTGTCCTCTCTCTTTTTGCCCTCACTCTTTTTACCCTCACTCTTTGGCCCTTTCTTTTTGCCCTTTCTCTTTTTGCTCTTTCTCTTTTTGCCCTCTCTTTGGCCTTTCTTTTTTTGGCCCTCTCTCTTTTTGCCCATTATTTTTTGCCCTTTGTCTTTTTGCTCATTCTCCTTTTGCAGTTTTTCTTTTTGCTGTTTCCCTTTTTGTCCTCTCTCTTTTCGCCTTCTCTCTTTTTGCCCTCTCTCATTTTGCCCCTTTCTCTCTTGCCTCTCTGTCTTTTTGTCCTCGTTTTTTGACCTCTTATCTTTTTACTCCTCATTCTTTTGATCCTCCTTTTTTTTGGCCCTCTCTCTTGCCCTCCTTTCTCTCTTTTGCACCTCTCTCTTTTGCCCCTCTTTCTCTCTCTCTCTTTTGCCCCTCTTTCTCTCTCTCTCTCTCTTGCCCCTCTTTCTCTCTCTCTCTCTCTTGCCCCTCTTTCTCTCTCTCTCTCTTTTGCCCCTTTTTTTATCTCTCTTTCTTTCTTTTGCCCCTCTTTCTCTCTCTCTCTCTCTTTCTTTTGCCCTTTTTTCTTTCTCTCTCTCTCTCTCTCGTCTCTCTCTCTCGTCTCTCTCACTCTCTCTCTCTCTTTCGTCTCTCTCTCTCTCTCTTTCTCTCTCTCTTTTGCTTTCTTTCTCTCTCTTTTGCCCCTCTTTCTCTCTGTTTTGCCCCTCTTTCTCTCTCTCTCTTTTACCCCTCTTTCTCTCTCTCTTTTGCCCCACTTTCTCTCTCTCTTTTACCCCCCTTTCTCTCTCTCTTTTGCCCCTCTTTCTCTCTCTCTTGCCCCTCTTTCTCTCTCTCTTGCCCCTCTTTCTCTCTCTTTTGCCCCTCTTTCTCTCTCTGTGTGTTTTACCCCTCTTTCTCTCTCTCTCCCTTTTGCCCCTCTTTCTTTCTCTCTCTTTTGCCCCTCTTTCTCTCTCTTTTGCCCCCTCTTTCTCTCTCTCTCTTTTGCCCCTCTTTCTCTCTCTTTCCCCCCCTCTTTCTCTCTCTCTTTTGCCCCTCTTTCTCTCTCTCTCTTTTGCCCCTCTTTCTCTCTCTCTCTTTTGCCCCTCTTTCTCTCTCTCTCTTTTGCCCCTCTTTTTCTCTCTCTCTTTTGCCCCTCTTTCTCTCTCTCTTTTGCCCCTCTTTCTCTCTCTCTTTTGCCCCTCTTTCTCTCTCTCTCTT